CGACCATCCACGTTCCCTGCCGGACCTCAACCACGACCATCCACGCCTAGTGTTCCCTGCCGGACCTCAACCACGACCATCCACTCCCAGTGTTCCCCGCCGGTCCTCAACCACGACCATCCGCGCCCAGTGTTCCCTGCCGGACCTCGACCACAGCACACAACCACAAACACAACCACAAACACACAACCACAAACACAACAACAAACACACAACTACAAACACATAACCACAAACACATAACCACAAACACAACCACAAACACATAACGACAAACACACAACGACAAACACACAGCTACAAACACACAACCACAAACACACAACCACAAACACACAACCACAAACACACAACAACAAACACACAAACACAACCACAAACACAATCACAACCACAAACACACAATTACAAACACACAGAGACAAACACACATCCACAAACACACAATCACAAACACACAGCCACAAACACACAATCACAAACACAACCACAACCACAACACAGCACACAACCACAGCCACACAACACAACCACAGCACACAACCCGAGGACCCACAAGCAAAATCGAGAACTACAATACTCACGACCATGGCAACATGCTCCTCACTATGGCATCAAGACAAATGATTGAAATGTCATGGTGGGGATCACTGGAAGCAAAGTATTTTTGAGGGGGTGACTGCAATTGGCAAGCACATGTGCTTTCCAATTGCATTCACAATCATTCACATGTCTTGTCCGAAATTGGATCAGAGAAGACTCCAGTGCCGCAGGGCCAGACAAAAGTGTCGCAGTGGGCACGCTGCTCAAAACTTGTCTCCTTGATGTCTCAATCACCCTGAAGTTCCTCCGACACTGCACCCTGTAAGATAGTAAGAGATGAATCTATTTGGAGCGTTGGGCGTCATCCACTCATAACTATCTCCCGAATCTGGGTCGGCCGCGGCCAGGTGAGTCTAGGGGAAGCTACGAGGTGCTCTCGCAGGAAGAGCTGGTGAAGGAAATCAAGGAACTGAAGGACCTGCCCACGGCAATGGTGCTACATTGGGTAGGCAGATGTAGGCCGGGAACAGGGGACCACACCTTGGTTGGCCATCCAACTGAGTAATTGTGCAAAATATGGTGCAGTCAGCGTTGGCCCCACCATTTTGGCATCATTGCACACATGTCCTCCCTGCTTCAGCAGCCAAGAACTGTGACACTATGACACACAACACGCCAATTACGGGACCTTCCCAAGGGTTCTTTGGACGGCAGCCGTTGCTTCGGCGCAGAGTGGGGCCCTTAGACTCCTGCAAGGAGTCCCTCAAGAGTCTGACAAAGGATCAAGGACGATTGTGAGGACTTCCAGAGGTTCGAATTCGGCTGTACCATGATGTAGAGGATCTGGGTTCGATTTAGGTTGCATGTCAATTTTTCGACTCTCAGGGGTTCACAAAGGGAAGGCTTTTTGAGGTGCTTCTCAGTGCTCATACATGCTCACATGATCTCATATGCTATTTGCATCTATTTGCGCAAGAAGATGCAGAAGGTTCCATCTACTCAAAGCAACCCGTTGTGGCTCCTGAAAGCAGGTTTCTTCCTTTAGATCGATGCAAGGCATCGCCTTGCAGTCTGAATCTCAAGCCGCTCCGTTCGGAACTCCCGCATGATAATAGATAGGACCATTGGGACCATTGCATAGATCGTTACCCTGGGGAGTCCTGATCGGGGATGTTACAGGGATGTTGCTTGGCGCCCTTCTTAGCCGTATATGAGCTGTTCTTTGGTGTTTGAGGGATCTGCTGGTGCATCATGCTACTCACCTTGTGGCGTTGCGTCCAATTCTTCGACGAGAGGGAGGCAAGATTGTTTCTGCGGGTCCTTTGTCTTCAAAGGGGACACGGAGCCCGTAATCTTGCATATGAATTGGCACTAGTTGGTCAAGCGATTGAAAACGTGTGATGCGGAGCGTGTAAGGGGCCCTACTGGCTCTAGTGCGTCCAAATACTCGTACCATGCTTGTATGACCGGATGCACCCTTTTGGGGGAACAGTGGGCTTGAAAGGGACATTGGGAAGACCACGGCACCCCGTGCCACAATTAGTGGAGATGTAGAGTCCATTGTCTCTACGTTGCTTGTTTGTCGACACGATGAGACCACATCTTTTCTGCCAACAAGTTTGTATTTGGGTTGATGGGATATACTGATATACAGCGTCCCGAGGTCGCTCATCGCGCCTTGAGTTGTCAGGCGGCATGTTGAAAGAGAAGAACCTTACTGTTGGCCTGCCCCTACACAAACGCAGGCTCAAGAAGGCCATGCTGAGCAAGACAGAGAAAAAAGAAGAGTCAGAGATACGTGTCCAGGAGACCTGCGTGTTTTCACTGTATTTATAGGTATTTATTAGAAAGGTTGCTGAACTATGCTGAACTCATGTTGACTGCAATGTGGAAAACCTATATAACTAAAATTTGCTAAACATTATATATGTGGCTCATGTTTAGACTTGATTTTCATGCATCCTATTGTCAATCAGCAGGGATCCTTTAAGCTACACCCTGACAAACACACCAATCGCCCTGAATCCGTTGTCCCCATCGCCAGGGAGGATGTTGCACCCGGTCCGGTTCTTTCCCAACGTCCGCCTCATAGGTCATTACTTCATGGTATTTGTCTTGGGTCCTTAATGCATGATTCTCACGAGCTCATGGCTTGCACAGCTTGCGCAGCTGGTCGCAGCAGACGGCCTGCCACCTGAAACCTGCTCCTGGGCACCATTGCCGCGAGATGACGATCCTCGACTTGATGGGACAAGATTTATACAAGCATCCTTAGCATCCTCGTTGTGTTGTTAGAAAGGGGATTTGGGAATGATGAGTGCTACAGAGGCTTTTCCATCATATGGCACCAGCCCATATAATTGCTTATGGACCTATGGATGGTTTCTCGTGATAGGAGGCAAAGAAGCGAAGAAGGGCCCCGACAAGGGCCCAGGGAGGCAGATTAAGACGCGCTGCGCGAAGACCAAGGGTATGTCTCTCAAAGATGATAAAGGGCCCAAGTCCAAGTTCCCATGATGGTCCCATAGGTTGGTTGAAAACATTCGAAGGCAGCTGTTACGGTAAAACATGGCGAAATACAACGAGGTTCAGGCAGTTCCTAAATCTATTTGGATATATAGCTTGATCATGTGGATCCATTTGCCAATCAGATGGACCAACCTTCCTATGGTTGCAACGGTGATCTCAGGACTTCGACCTGAGCTCCGGCTTTGTGGACTCGGTGCCCAGGAACGACCCGATCGCCGGGCGACGAGATCGAACAACGGATGCGAACGTTCCAAGTGGATGCGAGGGTTAAGACTCGACGGGGTTTTTTTCCGCGAGTCTTTTCCCCAAAGGAATTGGAACATGGTCCATAGTGCCATGGGAAGATGAGGTTCTTGACCGCTCAGGAGGTAGAGCGAGCCAGCTTGGGTCGTCACGGAGATGTCCATATTCCCCGAACAGTGAGCCGAGGAGCTCCGGAGGAGCTCTGGAGTTCCCCGAGCCCGGTAGGTTGGTTTCCTTTTGCCTGATGCGCCGTGCGAGTTCGATCCTCACCCCTCTGATCCGGAGGGAGGAGGGGTCTTTCCGCTTCCATGCAGTGTGCTCGTTGGATGGAACGTCTTGCCCATCTCGCGTGGTTCTATGGTGGTGTGGAAGACCTGTCAGAGTCTAGCAAAACAAGAATGCTTGAACTCTGTGGTCCCCTGACTCTTGTCTATTGAGTCTATTGACCTCTGGCCAAAGTATATATCTGCACAATTGAAACAAGGTGTTCCCTTCCGGTATGTTTGGCCACTGCCCGTCTTGGAGAATAACATGGGCAAGGCTCCAACCACGGACCATGAGTGAGAGTCCTGCTTTATGGCCAGGCAGTTCGCCCGATGTTCGCTGGCTTTAGATGCTGCTGGAGGGCATGCGAGTGGCTTGTTGGAGACTTTGATCTTTGGCATGCCACCTGACGCTGATCTGCATGAAATGGAGCTCTTGTCCCGGTAGGCGAAGCTAGACCTCTCATTCTTGAGATGCTTCGACTGATGGCAACGAGAGTGCCACACCGGCACTGGCAATGCAATGTTTGCATGTCCAGATCCACACACCCTATACTATAGAAATCTATAGAATTAAACATGCTAATTAATATATATATATATCCTAATCAACCTGTACCATTTGAAGACATCCCATTTCTGAACCTTTGCTCAGGAGCGTTCTTTCAGCCGCCTGGCGTGCCGATGGAGGGGATCCACGCGGGGCAAGGGCAAACGAGAAAGCGGACCGGAGGCAATGGAGGTGTTTGGGCGAATGACCCGCTGCCATCAAAAGATGAAGGAGTATACATCAATCTTCCTATTTCATGGGGGCTGCGCCCGTACTCTCCAGCAGAAGTCACTAGAAGTCAATACGCTGGATAGACTTCCCACCTGCTTCAGCCACGAATCTGCCGAGGGTTGGACCCTGGGACTCTATACCGGTTTTTGCCATCATGATTTTTGGGTGGTGCCCACTCTTTTTTCATGTGTCACAGCCCGATTGGCAGCGGAGATGGCGCCACCGCTTTCGGAACCTGGTCCCTAACCATCGGCGGGGCTTTTGCCGAGCGAGGGCTCTGGGGGAGGTCCGGAGGCCTCGCGCTGCCCAGAAGGTTTGCAGTTCGAGGACCCAGGATTGGTTGCAGTCACAGCCGTGGGGTGGCATGGTTTGCTTCCAAGCATGTGATGGAGGTCTTTGCCGAGTCATTTTAGGTCTTTGGCCAGCTATATAGATTTCGGTCGTCCGACTCGGGGTTTTCGTGGCGCAGGAGCTCTTGCTAAGCCCGCGTTATTTGGTGGCATCTGGGCGGCATTCCGATACAGGCGACCATGGAGGCTACTACTGTTAGGGTGGAGGCCATTGCTAGTAATGCTAGTAGATTGGAGGCCATCGCCAGTAGGTTGGAGGCCATTGCTACTAGGGTGGAGTGCATCGGCTTTGGGTGACAACCCCAGGTGGCTGCGCAACCAGAAGTGGCAAGGAGCAGCGACTGGCGAGAGCTGATACCGGTGGGTGCGCCTTGTCTAGGAACATTACACAACCTAGAATGAAGAGAGTGATGTGAAAAAGGCTGTTAAGCGGAAATGTGACACTTGCATGGAAGCTAATAATCATCATGAGCGATCATTTATGATGGATTCCAGGGTGAACCTAGACGTCGATTGAAGTTAGCCTTCAAAACAGTGTCGTCCCATGTTGGCACGAGAGATCTCGACCACTTCACTGAGGCCTGCGTTCCGCCAGCGTGTCACGAGGCCTTTGCAAACCTGGCCTTGCCACGTCTGCTGGACGCCGAAGGGGTGAATGACGTCAGAAGTGTTGCAGCAACCTTCATGGTTGAAGACATCCTGATACATTTTCATGTGGAGAAAGCAGGAGGAAACAATACAAGAGTTGGTTTGCAGATTGTGTTTGTGTATGCTCCATGAACTTGAACCGTCTGGTTCACCCGTTGTGCTCCGTTGGGCACTCTGCCAATCATCTCACGCGATGAAGGAATGGCGTCAAGGCAAATCGGCCAAGTATCATCCTTCGCCGGGACCTTGCGCTGGCGCCTTCGACGTGGATGTGTCTTGGTTCGTGTCGATGGTGACACGGTTCGTTTCGATGTGGGTCGGCATCCGTGTGCGGGGGCACGGAAATTGTCGGAATTCATGTGGCCAGCAGTGTTTCTTCTTGATGATTTTTAAGCCCAAATGCCTGTGTATCTTGTTTTCAATGTCACCGCATCCGGTCCTTTCCAAGCTTCGCAAGCTTCTCCATGATCTCCATGATTGGTGATGGAACATGAGATGCCTACATTGTCACTCGCGAGTTTGCCCTCGCATGTTGGATCACAACTTCCTCGTTCTCCTCTAACACCCCGCGCATTTGTTGATGCTTCGCTTTCACTGTCGCCCCCCTTTGTCGTCCCAGTCGCTTCTATCATCAGGACGCAAGTTGCGTGCAACACCTAGACCAGGACAGGGTTAATGTTGCTTTGCCAGGTGTCCACCAGATGTTGTAGTGCAAGGATTCTCTCTACACTGCTGTTTTTTTGACTGGTCAACTCGTTCTTTGGTTCTCCCAGGCCACTTCGATCCTAAGTTCGTCCACCTATCTCCGATGTTTGTCATGCTCAGACTGAGGGAAAAGCTCGACCTTCCAAGGCCGCGGCCGTTCCGGGGATGAAACCGCCAGGACATCCGCAGCGAGGCTTGCGTCACGGCGGTGCACGTGTGGCGGGTCTTGTGCGACGCCCGTTTTTTTGATGAGCTCTTCGGGGCTCAGGTGAGTCACTAGGTGGCAGAGGAGTGGGTTGGATTGGGGTGGTGAGGGTGCACCAAAACGAGGAGGAACCATGCTTCACTTGGATCACTTGAAGGATGCTGGAGGCTTGTGAAGCTGAGGTGTGGTGCACTTTGGTCAATCCACAGCACCAGAACACCACTCGACGGGGTATACTGTAAATAGATAAATGTGCTTGAAAGTTTGGATCTGGCACGGCTGCGGAGAAAGACCAATAGAATAGTTTGGTGGCATCCTATTTCAAGGCATCCCTGGATTGTCACTGATGAGGTAGCTTGCCGATGTTATATAAAATGTTTGTGCTTTGCCGATGTGCTGAGGAAGCTTGCCCAAAGACAGTTTGGGTGAAAGCTCAGAGTTCGCCGAGCACCAGAAGGCATGTTGGATCACTGAGTGTTGTACACCCTGCTTCTCTTTGGTGCTGTCCATGGTGACACTTCCACCGATTCCACGGAACTAACCTAAACCCTGCCTATAGTGCTTCGACTCACACGTTTTCATACTTCAGGGCATCAGCATGGATCGACCCAAGCCTTACAAAACATAAACATGCACATGCTTCAACAACGGACCGGAAAGCCGCTTGATGTCCTTGCTGTATTCGATGAATTGATTTGATCATATTTAATCAAGTTGCACGATATTCCCGATGAACGACACCTTTGCAACTGGACCCTGCTACAGCGCAAACGGTGGATCCACCATGATCCGAAAAGGAGGAATTGGTCCCATCAGGTGGAGCAGAGGTGCTTTTGTCGAACTTGGTCACTGGGGGCCACTGGTTGGAACCAAGACAGACTAAACATCGTTGAAAACGCATGGAAAATGTATGGAACACATGATTTCTTCACGGTGCAGGCTGCTTTGGGGCACTACAGTACTTGCAAGGAGGGAGGTGGCAGCTATGTCGGGGTTTACTTCAATGCTGTGGGGGAGGAAGACCCAGCTGGCGCAGGCTACGCGCGCCGTGGCAACAGAGGTGCACTTGTTCATTAATTGTCTAACATTGTTCAAGCCTTTTTTGCCTTACCAGTCTCATCAGAAGGGGTGACATTGATTTGTTTGTGCATACCATTGCTTCAGTTTCCATTAGAGACAATCCAACACCAGAAGAGAAACCTGGGTCAGTTCGTCAGAAGCATTTCCTTCCAACGTTTCATAGTAGTGACCGCCAAAAGAAGAACCAACCCAATCACCCGTGTTTGGCCCCTCGGTTCATGAGCACCTCCCCCGAGAACCGTTCGTCGAGTAGTCTAGCTTCATCTACCTTCCCCAGTTGGAGCCATGAGGAACAAAAGGCACGTGAGGTGCGCAGTCTCCACCATAAGGTTGGGCATGTGCATCCCGTCACTCCATACCACCTACAGCTCCGCAGTCTCCACCATCGTGGCGTGGCGTTTGGGCCTTCGTATGGCCACCGCCTACCCGGGCGTGGCCATCGATGCAGACAGCGTCCGTTCAGCAGAGCTGATGCACCGGAATGAGCTGGAGATCGGTTGGGCCATCATTGGCTTGGGACGGAGTGGGACCACCAGCCTGGCCGCCTGGTTGGAGCCTTGGTGCATTGCGAAGTTGAAGAATTGGTGTGTCAATGTGTGTCACGGGTCATAAGTCATAAGATCACCAGTTTCTCAGTGCAACTTCTTGTTAGGATAGCCATCCCAACTTGGAGCTCCTGAGCGACCCAGAGGACCATTTCCGTGAGGGTTCCTTCGACTACCTCTTCCGCCGGAGCCACCTGGAGCACCTCATCCGCCGCGACGAGCTGCCGAGTGCTGCGCGTGCTGGTTCCGCGGGTCCGGTCCGCGGGCGACGGACGCCATTGGTGGGCATTAAGGAGCCGAACCTGTTGCGCTCCAGCAGGGGGAGGCAGATCATGGCGGAGATGAAGAGAACGAAGGTGGGCATGTTCATAGTGTTTTTCCGCTTTTGGGCCGGGGGTGTGGCAAGAAAAGAAAAGTTTCTCACGGTTCACGGACTTTGGTATATTGTTTTTGTATAGTTTCGGATAGTTCCAGGCCGGTTCCGGGGGCATTGAAGTTAGCTGAGCAGTTGGTGAGGTGGGAATCTTTAGGCTGATGCATCCTGTGAGGTGCTGATTATTTTCAAGCTCCTTGGCAACCATGTGGCGGCGCATTGAGATGTGGCAGGCCGTTCCTGGGCCACTGGTTTCCCTCTGATTGCATTGCTTCAAACAGAGCCGCTAACACAAAGGCCGCTAAGTGGTTCCTGTTTGGACCGCAGGACTCACTGGGTGGACGTGCTCTCGTCCTGAGGAATTGGGTGGACTGGCTGAAGAGCGCAGCCCTCTTCATCCGCCCAACGCCTTGCTTCCCAAGGAACTTGGCCAGGCAAGCCTGGAGTTCGATTTCTTAGGCCGCAGAATCAAAGGTGTGTCAGGGCCGATGCTTTTTGGAGTAGTTTATTCGTTTGTTCCAAGATGTTCCAAGGAAAATATCATGATTGCTCTAGAAGAATCCGTGAATTTGCGAAATTTACTCTGGCTATTTTTTACCGTTGTCAATTGTGTGGTACGTTCATCCGAAGTCTTCCATTGATACGTCTAATACATGCAGGATTGGTGAAGAGGGCAACGACTGCAGCTTCGCCTTCGATGAAGCCCACCTTTTTGAGAAAGTGAGGGATTTGGAGCAGAAAGGACAGGAGCCGAGGAAGAGCGCAGGTCATGATTCGGTAGGTCTTCTCAAGTCTCAAAAGCCTTAGCTTCGTGCACTTGGTCTCTTAGCGCATAAAGAATCATCAAAGACACAGATGTGGCCCAAAATGTAGTACATTACTTGGGCTGCATGCAACAAGCCCCCCAAAAAAGTAAACATCGCACATCCCCTCAGAGAGTATCCCATATGAGAGCCCTTCAAATAGGTCCGATCTAGCCGAGGAGATCGGAATCCCTACCCTTGGACTCCTTCATTTGCTGGATCCTAGCACTCCACCATGCAGGATGTTGTCTCCCGCACTTGTGCTTGCGATTGATCAGTCCGATCCATCCCTTTCCAAGAGCACGCCAGATCCAGGAGTGGCACGCGAGCGCATCAAGGTGGTTCACTTGGACACCCTCCGGGCTGAGGTCCTGTTTGGAGATCCCGTGGGCACGATGTTTGAGTCAACCCGCATTAACCAACCCACCAAAGAAGGCAAGGGTGCATCCAGTTTGCCTGTAAATAAAGTTGAAAGGGTTTCAACAATAAGTCATCAAACCTTGCTGCTCAGCCGCTCAATATGTTAATTTTTGCACACCTCACATCATCGGTGGCGCAGGGCCCTGCCGCCCTGCGCCGCCTGGGCGCCTTCCTGGGGGCCGGGAACCGGTCGACCGGTAGCAGCGGGAGCAGCGCCGGTGCAATGCCGCAAGAGGGAGAAGTGGCGGAGGATGAAGTGGAATTCTGGGAGGAGTGGAAAGTTGGGCGCAATGGTGTGTACAATGACTTGCAGTGGAATTCTGCAGAAGGGGGTTGGAGATGGAAACTGCTTCTTGCGTTGGAGGTGGGGAAGGCCACATGAAGTGGGACATGGGCCAGGGAGAGGAAGATGTGTTCGTTTCCAGTTGCATGTGTCATTTTAACAGTTTTTCAATAGACCATGTGAGCGACCATGTCAATACCCACAATTTGAGGATGAACGCCCAAGTGCTGCCCGGATGGCCCGGATGGCCAGTTGTGCATGACAGTGAGTCGGGCGACAGTTCAGATGCTAGGAGCTGTGTGGCTTGCCAACTGAGCTGGCCAGAAGACTGGAGCGCATCTCGGCAGGTTTAGTGGGATCACTGTACTTGGCGAGTGCCTGGGCATGTTTGCCCCAGGTTTAGGTCGACGCTCACGCACCAGTGCGCGCACAAGTGGGCTTGGGGGGAAATCGCGAGTTTGCTTGTGATGCCCCACCAATAGTCAAAAGATGTCAAAAGTGGCCATCGCTATTAGTATGGAGGCCATCGCTATTCGGTTCCTTAGGAGGCCAGGTTTTCTGTGTTTTTTGGTCGTTTCATATGCGGTGGCTTTACAGCTCCGCCACACCAGGGCGCCGGAGTGAAGCACTCCGCGGCTGCGATGAGCTGCTGCGGCGAAGTGGCGATGCATGGCACTGCATTGAGCGCGGCGAAAATCCGAAATGCGAGAACGGACACAGTTCTCCCAAGATCTGTAGAGATACAGTCAAATTCGTCAGTATGTTCAAAAACAATCCTCCTGCACGTTTTCTCTACGGGACGCGGACCACAGGAACAAGGTATTTGATGGTATTTGTTTATAGCAAGACTTGTCCTGCTTTTTGAGGTTTGGAGGAAATCTGAGTGCACCCCACAAAAAGTTGATTCTGTAGACAGCTGTGGGCATTCCTATTTAAGGTGGGTTTGCGCATGCCGGAAAGCATTTTGTAGAAAGCTTTGCATTATTTGGCAAGGGGAAGTTGGGTGAAGAATGGAGAAGAAAGATGAACGTACCTGTTGCCACCACAAAGTCGCATGCGCGAGCTCTTCAAAAATGAAACATTCTACAAAATATGTCATGATTTGTTATTTGATGTTATTTGCCGCTTTGAATCTAATTGACCTGCAAAACTTGCATCTCTATACAGAATGTATCATGCACGGTCTCTATGCGAAAAGTAGATGCGCACCTTCCATTTGGGGAAGCAAAGGTGAAAAGATGCGAAAAGTGTGTGTTTTGCATTGTTGGATGTAGTGTTTTGTTTGATGGGGAAATAATCCAGGATTTGCCAGAGGTCTAGCTTGACAAGTCAGGCGTTTATTGCTTTAATGATTGGTAATCCCAAATATGCAAATAGAGAGTCAAAAGAATCCTTCGCAAATCAGAAGCAAATCCCAAACGTTGGTTGATTCTTTTGAGAAAGATGTCACTAAGGAGCCGATACCGGAATCCGTCTTGCGCCCTGTACCCATCCAACAAGAAGCCTGCCAACGAATGAAATCAAAGATTAAAATAACAGGAAGATGGATTGGAATTTATTTATTAGATAAATTATGATGAATTTAATATATAAATATATCATATCTAAATATTACTTCCTAAATATTTGTATTAAGAATGCCTATGAAATCAGGATGATTAACGTACGCCATAAACCGTTTTATGATATCCCTTTTTGGGGGGATGGGGGTCTGATTTTTTATGGAGGAATTGGTTTTCTTGTTGTAAAGAGAATATATATTTGATATATATGATGAATTGTAATGATATGGGATTTAGTTTTAAAACCAATTAAAGCAAAATTATGTAATAAATAGAATTTGGTGTATTTTCATTAAAATTAAATTTAAAATATTGTGCTAAAGACGATAATGGTATGGAAAGATAAAAAAGAAATAGGATATTTATAAATAATTTGGTATTTAGATATATTTGTTAAAAGATTTTTTATTTAATATGGTATTAGGAATATTGATTTAATAGGGAATTATTATTATATATTTTTAATTTCTTTAAAATCTAATACATATAATTATATAATGTGTATTGAATTTGTTTTATTATTTTAATATGTATTTTTTTAATTGAATTATATATTATTAAATCTTTATCTTGATATATAAATAATTTATAAATATTATATATATAAAGAATTGATATATGAAATTGATATTAGTTTTGTAAAATATTACAATATATAAATGATAAATGATTTTACATTATTGTATTTTGATTAATTTGTATTTAGAATTGATATTTGGTTATCGATTTAAAGGTTTTAAATAATATTGTGTATGACGATGATTCGGAATATTTTGAATTTTTCTCTGGCGAAAGATTATATATATATTTTTGATACGAATGTTTATTTATTTCTTGAATGGCTAATGTTAATGATTTTAAAATTAAATGAATTGTGGAAGTAAAATAATCTGCTATTGCGGCTATTATTATTATTGCTATTATTATTATTATTACTACGATTACGATTATTATTACCATTACCACTACCACTACTATTCTTGCTCCTGCTTTGGGGGGGGTGGCTTTGCCAAAAAATTCTACCCCGCAAAACGCGAAAATTCAGCTTAAGATCGGCGAAAGCTCATCCTGCCACATCTGACCCCCAGCGTATTCTTAGTAAATTTGAGTGACCGGCTTACAATAATTCTTGCAATTTTGATTCTTGTTGACACCCAACAGAAACAAAAGAGATATACAGGATGTCAACAATTAAGTAGAAAATATATGCTGATAAACAATGAAATTTCTATTTTTTGTTTGCCAATAAAGAAGAAGCCATTGACGTGAACAAAATACAACATACATGGCATACATAAATACAACGTACTTCGGCGAAAGATAAAGCGTAGGAAGGCGAAAATTTGGCTAAAATAATTTTTTTTTGCGAAATTGACGGATCCGGGATAAAGGAAATTAGATCAATTCCCATTTTTTATATCGTATATATATTGATCGAATATTATATTACAATAGGACAATAATAATAAGAGAATAAAATCGTAATATTTCTAAATATTGGCTCGATTTATATCGATATATAGATTTGATCGAAGAATAAAATCGGTTGTTTGATAGATGGTTTTAAACAAAACGATACGAAAAGGAATTTAATGATTTTAATATTCTTAATGCAATTCGGGGATTGAATATTAAATAATTGAAATAAAAGGAATATCTTTTAGTGGGCCAAATCTTATATATTATTGCCTAATCTTTATGGATCGATCGGAAGTTGTTCATTCCGATGCGCCATTATTTTTATCTATAATTTTTACCAATTTAATTCTGAACAAAAAATGATCCAAAAATTGCATTCAACGTCGTTTTGCGGGTGACCAAATGGTCGAATGAAATTTATCTTTGGAAGATGATCTTTGTCTCCAAATGGTGTCCTTCCCGTGTTTCGGGGCAAAAGGGTAACAAATATAATAGATTTTAATTAGAATTGGATCAAAATTGGGGGGTCGTAGAAACGTGATATTTTGCCCTTACCAGGGGGTTTTGCCCGATGCCTGGGGTTTATCCCTCTCCGTGTCTCGGGTTTATCCTCGTTGCTTGTTAATAATCCCCGTTTTTTGTTAATCATCCTTATCCGAAGAAGAAAATAATAGTCGTCGTCGAAGCAATATGGTCCGTGTTCTTCGGAATGAGGGCCGCATATTTTTGAGAGGTGTTTTTTGTGGATATGAGAGCATTCGTGAATTATTATGTAGCAAAATCGAGGGTTTCGATATTTAGTTCTGGAGCAAGCACACATACGCTATGAATGTCTGGTGTTCAAGTCCCTTCTCCTTTTTTGAATTAATTGCATCTCATTTCCATTCCTTCGTGGTTGGGGGTGGGTGGCCTTTGTACAATTTGTAGAGGCATGATCGCTTGGCTGGAGGGCTTGGGCAAGAATGCAGGTTGGTGTGCATGCTGTGGTGGATGGGCCCCCGATCCGCCGTTATGGATCCTGGTATGGATGTGCAAGCTCCTTATTATACAATTATGTCATGTGGGTTAACTTTTCTGGAATTCATACATATAGGCCATGTGCCTATGTCCGCCTTCACTTCTCGGGCTTATGCTAGTGGTGAATGATCGGGTATCTGCGTGCTAAAGCTACTGTGGGTGGCCATGCAGTGGTGCCATGCTCTGGGCAGATCTGGTCATGTGCGCTACGGCTTGTACATTTGGTTGGTGCTCACAGCATTGGCAGGCAGATCTTGCTAGGTTGCATGTCTGGCAGCTGGATATATATGGTCTGTATTTCAATTCGGCGGTTGGTGTTGCAAACAGTTGCCGCTAGTGCTGGAATGGTGGATTTGACTCCTGCTTGACAATGCTTATAACATTTTTCCAGGATGGGTTGCTGCTTCTTCTGAGGCATCTTGATCTCCCTGCTTCTTGATGTATTTTGTTTGGCATGATTCTCTACCTCTCTGGCACGTTGCATTGCAGCAAAAAGAAGTATGGCTGGTG